AATCTGCGTTATATCTTTGTACATATTTTGTGCCATCATCAACATAACGAATTGTTTGTATTTCTATTTCAAAATCGAGCGACGTTTAATATTATGACTTCATTTAGGTAAGTTCTATTGTACTGCAATCATTGAGCATCGTTAGACTTTATAAAAGATCTTTACTCCTTTTGAATTTTAAAACTGCTTTATATTTATGGCAAAAGTTTGCTGAGATTTTTTTACGATTGTAACATGTGACAGCCTGGGTTATGTGTTTATTAGCATAATTATCAGTCAGCCAAGCTTTTTTGAAACCATTATGAATCAACATTAACATCATCTGACCTCGTACATGAACTGTTCTTAACCAATAGAGCTATACCTCATATTCATCATGTCATTTTAACTTTTAAATATGTTTATGTCAAGATTTCAATTGTAGAATGATTATTATATATACTACTGAACATTGTGTACAACAAGACAAATGTCAATAAATGAGTTGTCAAGGAAAATGAACCTTAAGAACCAAGAATAGCATGAAGCTTTGTTTTACACCACTGTATATGACAGATCATTCTCATTGGAATGCATCAAATTACAATATTGCTACATAAACACAATGAGGATGAACATTTTGATGTTCACGAAAACAAAATTTAATTATTTATAGATGTTCCAAATGTGCACAGCAATGTAATTATATCTTACAATAGCTGCGCCAGGCCTAAATTCCATACAATGATAAATAATCTTTTGAAAATATCACTGTTTGATTGTAAACTGTTTTCTTCTTTAAGATAAATCCCATTTCACCACCAACCTATGTTGTCACGACAACAACAATGAATCGAGAAGAAGGTTTGAAAGCTTTGGAAACATCTATCAAAGCCATTGAAGAAGTCATTATGAACAAGAAAGGAACATTTGTTTTACAACAAGCTGTAAGTGTTTGGTTTAAATTTCTATGAAAAGTATATTGTATCACTAAAATGACATCCCCCTGGTGCCTCTAATGTCCTCATATCATCCTGTTACCATTTCCCTAAGTACCCCATGCTGTATTAAGACGGACATATTCAATCATTAGTCGTTTATTTAAAAATTACAATGACACCATCCCAATGCATTGAAATCAATAATATTAGGACCCTGTGACATTGGCAATAATTTATGTTAACTGTCCACAAAAATTAATTTTTCCTAAAGCTACTTATGCATTGTGATATCATAATGATGTTTTTTGCATATTGAAGAAAAGTTATGTGTCTCCAAAACAAAATAAAATAACAAAGCACATGTTCACACCATTTACACAATGACTGTCGCATGTTTGCTTTGTCTGACTGTGTAACTATTATCAGAAGGACATCACTCGAGTCCATTGGACATTTTGCACACCTGTATGATGTATCAAAGATTTGAAATCATACAACTGACGTATGTTTAATGAGCTGCTGTTTTTTACAGCGTCAGAGAAAAGAATAAAACAAGCAGAGTTTGTCATGTTCTTATTCAAGTAGTACTTTATGTTTAACTTAGGAGCTAAACATGTTTCATACAAAATGTTTTATGGTTTTTGATTGGTTATATGAAATGCTCTTTAATATGTATTAGATATAATTGAACAACTGTTTTTCTATTGTGTCTGTTGACATAAAATTATCAGTTTTAACAGAAATAAGCCTTCATAGAGATTAGAAATGTAAAAATCTTAAAATGATTTGAACTTATTCAGGAAAGAGGTCATTATTATATTTTATTATCCTAACTAACATTTTTTTTTTACTTGATGGGGTACTCTAGGAATCACCGGAAATCTTCGGCTCGTGGTCGATGGTAATTATCGGAATTAGCGGGAAAAACTACGTCAGAGGTCTGGTACCGACACAGAGACGCGATTCTTGTCATTTCATTCTGGATAGTACGCCGTCCATCGAAGCTCCTCAGTTCGTAGATATATAAAAATTGCCAAATACCAGCTGTTATCCTTCTGTAAAAGTAAGTAAACATTCTTAGTTAACGTTAGAATGGAGTTTTGTAAATTTTGATGAATTCAGACAACAATATTCGTCGTCGTTTCCATAATGAAAGCGAAACCAATGAAAAATGTATTTGTAATTGCAACTATGTTCAACGCATTTGGGTATAATTGTGACAGTTTTCATCATACAAAGAAAATTGTACTGGGCTGTCGTCAATAGCTTCAAATATCGATTTTTTGAACGGTTTTATGCGCCGTATCCTGGTGTCAAAACGTAGACGACCTAACATCTATGTACTTATTAGGAACGTGAAAATATTTAAACCAGTTATAACCAGGAGGCATCAATTTTCTGAACACTTAACACTTTAAACATCGAAACATGTTTTATAATATTTAAGTCACGCTTAAGTGAGAATCGTGTGATAAGTGTTGAAGTATGTATTGGCTCTTTTGCCTTGATTGTAACAAATCTATTGCGCACAAAGGCATATAGAGTTCCCGCGAGTGCAAATAATTTGGTGTAAAATTATCGTGTTGAAACTTTCAAAGTCATTATTATGGATCAAAAATTACTTTGTAGCTTGTTTTTTAATACATTCTGAATTTTTTGAAAATAATTAATTCTTTCTTTGGTATTTGATTATAAATGATGTAGCCACATAGCACAAGTGTTCATCACTTCCTCTTAGCTGTGGTGCATTGGAGCATGTTACATTTGATTTAACTTTTCCTTTTGATATTTTGAAGTTTTTTGCAATAGTTGAAATGTTTATCGTAAGTCACGATCAAATTTACTTATTCGTTGGATGAAAAACTATCCAACAAAAATTTCAAATACATGAGGCAAAGTTACGCAAAATAACGTTTCCCACAACGGAAATTTCATGTTTGTAACAAAATATACACAACACTAAAGATATATACTTTTCCGCTAGATTCAATGTCGTGAAACCTTCGTATTGCGATTCCTTCATAAGCTTTGAAGGAATTTTAATGCAAATGAATAAACGTTTACAACTGCAGCCATTGCGAATGTGAACGTATCGACGTTTTTGCTTTAAACATTTGAAATGTTTCTAATTAATGTTATTCATTTTTTCTGTGTTATTTTTGTAAGAGTTTCTATCATGTTCTTTAGAATGGCTCCTTGTTTATCAAAATCAATAATGAGAGATGTCTACTGCACTATGCTCCAAAAAAGACCTGAGCGAAGTCCTTTCGCTAGAACTGATATGTACGATATTGTGAGCTTGCTTTACATGTCGAATGAGTTGGTTAAAAAAGAGATCATGAAAAGTGAAGGAGAAAATGCACTCTCGGTTATTCTGTCTCATCTTGATGATCAATCAATGACAGTTTTACTTAGAATCTACATTAAGCAATTTTTCAAATGTACTATATTTACGAATGACGCCTTTCCTCTTTTTCCGTACAATGAAAACTGCCAAAACCATTGGTTTACGCAGAATTTTTCACGTCGTAATGATGCAGGGGACCAAACTAATCAAAAAGTAGAGATTTTTAATGCAAGTAACAAAGATGAAGCTAAAACATGTATCGCCGAGTTTGTAAAGAAAGAAGAAGACAAAGATAATGAGTTCTATTTCCATGGCACTGATCATTCGTCTGCAAAGAATATTCTCGAGAATGGTATTGAATTAAGTAAAGGTAGTAAAGAGTGTGACTTGTCGCATAAGTATGGCTTCTACATGGCAAATAAATATGAATACTCGTTAACGGAATATTCTAATATAACAGAACCAGCTCTTCTCATTTTTTGTTTACGCCCAAATAATTTGGAAAGTTTCCGAGAATTGTATTTATGTGGTAATCGCAATAAACAAGACTTTGGTACAGTTACTCAATACTTTAGGGCTGGAAAAATAGACCGTAAAGGTTCCATGAGCAGGGAACTATTGTCGGACATAGAGAATTGCGATTACATCAAAAGTCCAATTACAGGTGATGTTCGTTCAGCAGATGACCAAAGCAAAGATGTTCTGCAGGTTTGTGTAAAGAAACACAAAATGGCTGAGACAATGAGCGGTTCCCCATTTTTGGTGGGTGCAGTCTTTATAAAGGCTTATTCTGAAGAGAACGATTCTTACAAAATTAGCAGTAGGAGACGCAAGAAAACAGCAAAGTGAAATGAGTTCAGTAATAAACAGTTTGAAATTGCATGGAGTTATGTCGTCCATGAAAACAATCGTATCACACATTATAACGTAACTCGTAGGACATATTGATTTCGTACATAGTCGTTATTTACCATTAAAAAGCTGAATTGTAAAAATATTGATGTAAACAATTTTTAAACAATTATTGCATGAGCATGATACGAAAAATTATTCAGACCGAGCTCCTTTAACGAAGTCTGAATGATTCTTTAAGTTATGCAAACGTGTAAAAACTAAAACACAGAGCAAAATCCAGAGCAAGTTTGCACATTTTTAGTTTGTGTTAACAATTTCACATGAACAATTACGTCGCCTACAAATAATTTTCAATGTTATGTAAGTTGCATAATTTGGAGAATTACCTGTTGCCTCTTAGCCTATCACAATCGATGTTCCATCGACATTGTATAATAATGTAAATCAGGAGTAAAATAGAATAGATTTGATTTTGTGGAACAACGAGGTTTGTATGAATTTTTCTTGATTCTCAAACGGCTTAAACCCTACCATGTAAACCAAAAACTGTCACTAAAATATGATCTAACTTTTCGTAACTATCTCAACTAATGATACTAAAACCACACAATATTTAAACTTCCATAAATAGCGTATTTTTCTTAAGTCACACAAAGGCGATTAACAACACTTATCAAACGATACTGCGTACCTATTGAAACTAAATTAACCTTACAAAATTAAAAAAATTTTCAGTTTTAAAGATTAAATTTCTTTCAATCTTAAATCCGGGGTAGTAAATTATGATCATTTCATGTTTGATTACCCAATGGCAATTTGGCAACGCCTTAGTCAGGTGACCAAACAAACGCATCTATCCCACAAATCCTCGCGTGCCATATCATCATTCTTTTATACTTTTCGTATTTTGATTATTTTCTTGGTTGCTAAAGTAGAATTTTTGGAACTTATCGGACGAGTACTAAAGTACTGTGTTAGCGTCGTATTGGTGATGCGCATGGGATAATTTGTTGTTTTTCGTGATACGTAAGTGAGCTTAAATGTATTTCTTAAATGTCATATCAGTATTGCCAATGTTCGTCGTTACGTTTGTACTTAAAATCGAAACCAGCGTTTTTGTCTTGTTGTTATATTTTGATTCTATTTTATATTATGTCTGTACGCCGTTAAACGTTTAGTTTATGTTAAAGTCGTGCAAATTTGCGACAAAAGGGTTTTTTAGTGAACTAGGTTCGTGAGTTTAAAATATTAAGTAAATTCCTCTTTGCTGTCGTGGCGTATTTCCGTAGAGAGAAAAGTTCTTATCGTAAGTTCCTTAGTTATATGTAATGTAGTATTTTCGTGAAAGCATTTATCCTTTGTGTTTTAAGCTTTTTGATTCTTATACGTAAACTTTCAGGTGCGAGTTTTATAATTTCATACCACAGTCTCATTCACGGGATGACGCTGTGAAAATTCTGCGGCTATTCTTATTGTTGAGAAGTATTGTTTTATAACTATAGTTTAAGTTAATATTTGTAAAATTTTGATAAGAACTTTAAGCATAGATTTGTGTCAAATGTTTAGGTCTAACTTGATATTTTATGTGTTCCTTTTCTCTACATTTTTAGTATGAATAAATATCCAATCATTGTCAATCTTGAACGTTTCACATCAAAGAATGATCTCATAAATACAATAAAGCTTGCCCTAAAAAACTTTGAAGATGATAACGTAAAGAAAATTGTGATTCATCATTTCCAATGGCAGCCGAAACACCATCTCCCTAAGTCACAAATGTCAGAAAAAAAAATAAACATTAGCGAAGCCCAAGTTCACTACTTCTTGGGTTCAATTTTTGTTTGTTATCAATGTTTTGTATTTTGTGGTATCTTGTTGAATGAGGTAAAGGCATTATTGTCTGATGAAGACAAACTCACTTCTGAAGAGAGGGGACAATTAAATAATCTAAAAGTAGACCTCAACTATTTAACCAAGCTTCTCGATAAAAGATGTCTTTACGACTACAATTTTGGTGGCTTCAAGAAAGAAGTTAGAGATGTGGCAAATGATGTGGATCTTGTGAAAGTTGTGAAAAATATAGAAAGTACCATTTCCAATCTAAACCATCCTGAGGTAAATGATCTCTTTGACTTGGAACTCACCCGAGAAGATATTCTGTGCTCAGTGCTTGGTTTGAAAGATGAGTTTGGTTGCAGGCTTTTCGAACTAAGTCCTCACATGAGAGAACACAGGAGTGAAAAGGAAAATTTGCTAAGGTTCTTGAAGGAGTTTAAGGAAGAAGACAGCATAGAAAATCTCAGAGATAGTAAAGATGTTGCTGACATCTTATTCAAGATTGGTTTTACAAAGCATCGATCTCAATTTATTGCTAAATGGATAACCAGCATGCCAGATCCGAATCACAAACCAATTTTATCTTGGGTGGAAACTTACATTGAAAATCATTTTAGGTATGATATCTTATTAAAGGATCAAGTCTTCGATTTCCCATTCGAAAATGATTATAGGAAAAAATTGTTTACAGTGAATTTCTCACGTTTTGATGAAGAGGGAAGACATAGTCATCCTGTAAATATGACCAATTTTGAATCGCCAGAAGATGCTCTACACCATGTTGAATCAAAAGTTGCTGAACTAAATGAAAATGATCCTGAACTAAATAAAAATAATCCTCAGAGAAAAGTATATTTCCATTGTACTGATCACAAAAGTGCTGTTGATATTCTAGAAATCGGAATTGAGCTGGGTTTTGGTCGTGACAAATTAGACTTCTCTGATGGAGAAGGGTTCTACATGGTAAATAACGCAGAGTTCTCATTAGCACATTATGGAAAGACCAGTACTCATCCAGCTATTATCATGTTTGATGTGAGTCCTCAAGAACTGAGCAACTTTAAAGGAATTGATTTATCCAGTGCTGAAAAGGAAGAAGATTGGAAATTGATTGTTGAGTATTTTCGCTCTGGTAGCCATGGTATTGGTAATTTACCCAAGAATTTGTTGTCACACATAAGACAATGGGATTACATCAGAGGGCCTGTTTCCCTTAATGGTTTTATTGAAAAAAACACATTATCTCAAAAAATTGAACAAATTTGCATAAAGAAACAAGAATTGGCCAAGTTAATAGGGCATCCATCATCAATTTTAGAAGTGATTTTTCTTAAAGCTCCCAAAATTCCAAAATTCAATATTTGAATAGTTATGGGTGCAAATTAGTGGACAGAACATGAAATTGATGACCATAGTTAGCACTGTGACAATATTTTATTTTCGTCTATAGTCTACCACTTGCTGCAAAATTTAACTGTGAACAAAAGAAAATTTTATGGCATACTAATAGCTAGAAGCAACAGTAGAACATTGTAGACAATGATTTTCTTTTTACTATTTATACCTGAACATCCTGGTATACTCAAGTTTATGAACAAGTTATATTAAAATAGTAAGTGGGAGAGGGGGGGGGTGAATATTCATATATTCAGCTCTGCTTGACCAATTTGATTTGTTAGTGATTATAATTTCAAAAGCAGAATATATGAATATTCACACACACCTCCACTTAACGTTCTAGTTTCGCCCTTTAATGGGTGGAAGTTTTTAATTTTAGCAAACCACCCACATTGATTATGTATTTTTCCATTGCCAAGAGCAGATAGATTCGTTAAAAAATGCAAAATGTTTTGTTTTTTATTCTTGCAGTATTCATTTTGTACGGCTAACACGCACCCCAAAAGCAGGTGGTCAATAGGAAGTTTTATTTTTTGAATAACAGTATGAATTACGATTCTAAACAATCATCTCATCAGGTAGTATTATAATGCATTGATGAATAGCAGTAAAACATCGCTAAAATTAAACGGCCAAACTGTTTTCTTTGTCCCCCAACACTTGAAACATTAAAAAGTCTTGATTTTGCAATTATCACGTTTACGTGTCTATATGATTTAAGAAATGCTATTGGCTAGCCTGATCACGTGATAAAATGCGATTTGCTAACAAAATAAACAAGCAATGGCTGATCAATGCTTGTTATCGAAGACGAAGTACAAATTAATGTTTGAAAACCAGGTTTTTTCTTTTCTTTTTGCTCAAATACGTTAGCTGCCTCAACTAGGTCTTTGTGAATATCATTATTTTCCCATTCAGAGAGGCATTGCGATAAATTTTCAAATATATCCGTCATTTGCTTGCTTTTCAAAACATGAAATTTTCTGTGACGTCATTCCGTGCGTATCTCCTGTTATATATCATGGCTCTCGCCAATGAAATTGCTCAAATTCTTCTGGTTATTATCTAATTATATATAGTCAATGGCGCGGTATATTTATAGTCTTTGTTAATGTGAATTGTGAAATTGGGAGTTGAGAGAATTTGCTTTGAATTGTATTCAGAGCTGCAAAATTTCGACAATGACTTCAAGAAAGCGTTGCTACAATGGATTAAAACATGCAAAACAACATTTGATATTATTTTTCATTTTATCCGGCGTACTTTGTGGATTTTTACTCGGTGCTTTATTACATTGCAATGTTCAGTCGTCCATAGATCCAACACCGAAGGAATATGCAATGTACGTGTCGTTTCTTGGTGAGATTTGGGTGAGAGCTTTAAGACTTTTGGTTCTTCCTTTGATTGTATCCAGCCTGCTTTTGGCAGTCGCTGAATTGGAGTCAAAACAGAGCAGAAAATTGAGAAGAAGAACATTGCTGTATTGTCTTATGACTACAATGTTTGGGGAGTAATTTGTTTATTTGCATTTAACCAGAAAATGTTAACGTGAAAGAACCAGAACCGTACGAAGAAAAAGTTGAACCAATACATTCTGTGCTTGACCTTATAAGGTTTGTGCTAAATATCGATAAGTATATAAATGTTTACTTTATGTATGTATTTGTTTGTCTGTTAAGTTGATTTTGTTTGTAAAATCAAAGTTTAGATTGTAATGCAATTATTTACAAATAAATTGTCTTATTTTCTCTTACTCTTGCATGAAGAATTTTGTGTCAAGAAAAAGTACCAATCCTCAAACTTTTTGTAATAAATCTGTGTATCACTTTAATTCATGTGCATACACTACGCCCTTAACACCTTGTTATCATCCTTATACCATCATCAAATCATCTACATACATGTTAGTAAATGTAAATCGTCCTGGTTGGTATAGTCCTGAGAAGGACTGTTTTTGTTGTTGTTGACTGACGTTTTGACAACCTTAGCGGTAGTCATCTTCAGAGTCATCTTCTTTGACAAAAGATTGAATTTTAAAACTGCTTTATATTTATGGCAAAAGTTTGCTGAGATTTTGTTTACGATTGTAGCATGTGACAGCCAGGGTTATGTGTTTATTAGCATAATTATCAGCCGAGCTTTTTTGAAACCGTTATGAATCAACATTAACATCATCTGATGTCGTACATGAACTGTTCTTAACCAATAGAGCTATACCTCATATTCATCATGTCATTTTAACTTTTAAATATGTTTATGTCAAGATTTCAATTGTAGAATGATTATTATATATACTACTGAACATTGTGTACAACAAGACAACTGTCAATAAATGAGTTGTCAAGGAAAACGAACCTTAAAAACCAAGAAAAGCATGAAGCTTTGTTTTACACCACTGTATATGACAGATCATTCTCATTGAAATGCATCAAATTGCAATATTGCTACATAAACACCATGAGGATAAACATTTTGATGTTCACGAAAACAAAATTTAATTATTTATAAATGTCCCCAATGTGCACAGCAATGTAATTATATCTTACAATACCTGTGCCAGGCCTAAATAACATACAATGATAAATAATCTTTTGAAAATTTCACTGTTTGATTGTAAACTGTTTTCTTCTTTAAGACAAATCCCATTTCACCACCTACCTATGTTGTCATGACAACAACAATGAATCGAGAAGAAGGTTTGAAAGCTTTGGAAACATCTATCAAAGCCATTGAAGAAGTCATTATGAACAAGAAAGGAACATTTGTTTTACAACAAGCTGTAAGTGTTTGGTTTATATTTCTATGAAAAGTATATTGTATCACTAAAATGACATCCTCCTGGTGCCTCTACTATCCTCAAATCATCCTGTTACCATTTCCCTAAGTACCCCAAGCTGTATTGAGACGGACATATTCAATCGTTAGTCGTTTATTTGAAAATTACAATGACACCATCCCAATGCATTGAAATGAATAATATTAGGACCCAGTTAACTGTCCACAAAAATTAGTTTTTCCTAAAGCTAATTATGCATTGTGATATCATAATGATGTTTTTTGCATATTGAAGAAAAGTTATGTGTCTCCAAAACAAAATAAAATAACAAAGCACATGTTCACATCATTTACACAATGACTGTCTCATGTTTGCTTTCTCTGACTGTGTAACTATTATCAGAAGGACATCACTCGAGTCCATTTGACATTTTGCACACTTGTATGATGTATCAAAGATGTGAAATCATACAACTGACGTATGTTTAATGAGCTGCTGTTTTTTGCAGCGTCAGAGAAAAGAATAAAACAAGCAGAGTTTGTCATGTTCTTATTCAAGTAGTACTTTATGTTTAACTTAGGAGCTAAATATGTTTCATACAAAATGTTTTATGGTTTTTGATTGGTTATATGAAATGATCTTTAATATGTATAAGATATAATTGAACAACTGTTTTTCTATAATGTCTGTTGACATAAAATTATCGGTTTTAACAGAAATAGGCCTTCATAGAGATCAGAAACGTAAAAATCTTAAAATGATTTAAACTTATTCAGGAAAGAGGTCATTATTATATTTTATTATCCTAACTAACATTTTTATTTGACTAGATGGGATACTAGGTCCCATGGTAATTATCGGAATTAGCGGGAAAAACTACGTCAGAGGTCTGGTACCGACACGGAGACGCGTTCTTGTCATTTCTTTCTGGATAGTACGCCGTCCATAGAAGCTCCTCAGTTCGTAGATACATAAAAATTGTCAAATACCAGCTGTTATCCTTCTGTAAAAGTAAGTAAACATTCTTAGTTAACGTTAGAATGGAGTTTTGTAAATTTTGATGAATTCAGACAACAATATTCGTCGTCGTTTCCATAATGAAAGCGAAACCAATGAAAAATGTATTTGTAATTGCAACTATGTTCAACGCATTTGGGTATAATTGTGACAATTTTCATCGTACAAAGAAAATTGTACTGGGCTGTCGTCAATAGCTTCAAATATCTATTCTTTTGAACGGTTTCATGCGCCGTGTCGAAACATAAACGAACAAACATATACTTATGGGAACCATGAAAATATTTAAACCAGTTATAACCAGGAGGCGTCTATTTCCTGAACACTTAACACTTTAAACATCAAAACATGTTTTATAATATTTAAGTCACGCTTTAGTGAGAATCGTGTGATAAGTTTTGAAGTATGTATTGGCTCCTTTGCCTTGATTGTAACAAATCTATTGCGCACTAAGGCATATAAAGTCCCTTGAGTGCAAATAATTTAGTGTAAAATTATCGTTTTAAAACTTTCAAAGTCATTATTATGGATCAAAAATTACTTTGTAGCTTGTTTTTTAATACATTCTGAATTTTTTGAAAATAATTAATTCATTCTTTGGTATTTGATTATAAATGATGTAGCCACTTAGCACAAGTGTTCATCACTTCCTCTTAACTGTGGTGCATTGGAGCATGTTACATTTGATTTAAATTTTCCGTTTGATATTTCGAAGTTTTGCAATAGTTGAAATGTTTATCGTAAGTCACGATCAAATTTACTTATTCGTTTGATGAAAACTATCTCAACAAAAATTTCAAATATATGAGGCAAAGTTACGCAAAATAACCTTTCCCACAACGGAAGTTTCATGTTTGTACTAAAATATGCACAACACTAAAAATATATACTTTTCTGCTAGATTCAATGTCGTGAAACCTTCGTATTGCGATTCCTACATAAGCTTTGAAGGAATTTTAATGCAAATAAATAAACGTTTACATATGTAGCCATTGTGAATGTGAACGTATCGACGTTTTCGCTTTAAATATTTGAAAGGTTTCTAATTAATGTTATTCATTTTTTCTGTGTTATTTTTGTAAGAGTATCTATGATAAAATAAAGATATGATCTTATAAACATAAGTTAGAAAACATTCTTTCATAAGTATCTATGATGTTCTTTAGAATGCCTCCTTGTTTATCAAAATCAATAATGAGAGACGTCTACACCATTTATCCACAAAAGAATAATGTTGTACCACAATACAACCAAACGATCATTTCTATGCTCGAAAAAAGACCTGAGTGAAGTCCTTTCGCTAGAACTGATATGTACGATATTGTGAGCTTGCTTTACATGTCGAATGAGTTGGTTAAAAAGAGATCATGAAAAGTGAAGGAGAAAATGCACTCTCGGTTATTCTGTCTCATCTTGATGATCAATCAATGACAGTTTGGAACCTACATTAAGCAATTTTTTAAGTGTACTATATTTACGAATGACGCCTTTCCTCTTTTTCCGTACAATGAAAACTACCTAAACGGTTGGTTTACGCAGAATTTTTCACATTTTAATGATGCAGGGAACAGAATTAATCAAGAAGTAGAGATTTTTAATGCAAGTAACGAAGATGAAGCAATTAGATGCATTAAGGAGATTGAAAAATTAAAGAAAAACGAAGACAAAAATACTGAGTTATATTTCCATGGCACTGTTCATTCGTCTGCTCAGAATATTCTTGAGAATGGCATTAAATTAGGTAAAGGTGGTGAAAAGTGTGACTTGTCACATAAGTATGGTTTCTACATGGCAAATGATTATGAATACTCATTAACACAATATTCTAATATAACAGAAGCAGCCCTTCTCATTTTTTGTTTACGCCCAAATAATTTGAAAGGTTTCCAAGAATTGTACTTATGTGGTAAGAGCAATCAACAAGACTTTGGTACAGTTAGTTAATACTTTAGGGCTGGAAGGATAGACTGTAAAGGTTCCATGAGCAGGGAACTATTTTCAGAATTGAAGAAGTGCGATTATATCAAAAGTCCAATTTCTAGTGATGGTTGTTCAGCAGGTGACCAAAAGGAAAGATATTCTGCAGGTTTGTGTAAAGAAACACAAAATGGCTGAGACAATGAGCGGTTCTCCATCATTGGTGTGTGCAGTCTTTATAAAGCCTGATTCTGAAGAGAACGATTTGTTGTTGGGTTTTGATTCATTTGTATATTGAAAACATTTTGAATCTGATGCTTAGCAATGGCACGTTCATGTGTATTTAACTTCTTCAACTGGGAGGCAACAAGCATTCCACATAAATCGTTTTCATCTTTTTCCACATTTTTTTTGTTTTGATGCTTAAATGCTTTCTGCATTGTACGAAGAAACTGTATTTCTTCTTGCTCAACATCAACTTTTGTCTTTGACCACTTTTTATGTCCAGTTGTATCAGATATATCAGTAATTTTATCATCAAATACTTCATCTGGCTCTATTCGTTGACAGCCATTGTCTTCATCTAGTAAGCTGACTTGCTCAATTTCATCATTGGTTAACAAACTACAATTACTTGTCTAGCTGCTGCTGGTAGTTCATACTGACAAATTAGTTTTTGTTGCTCCAGACTTTATGTATGGTACTAACCACTGTAGAAAATTATAGTCCTTCAATTTTGTTTTAGAGGAAACAACAGCTGACAGAGATGTTCCAGATTTATTTACTTTTTAAAGTTATTTCTTCGCTTGCTGAATCTTTTTTTAAATTTTCAAACAATTTTTCGCTCGCTCACCAATTATTAAAGTAAATGGTTTGAACCGGGAGTATCGTTACATGTTTGTAAATGTAGATCGTCCAGGTTGGTATAGTCTTGAGAAGGACTGTTTTTGTTGTTGTTGACTGATGTTTCGACAACCTTAGCGGTAGTCATCTTCAGAGTCAAATGAAAATTGTTTTACGTTCCAATAGATTCAGATTTTCTGCCACTTTTGCCCAAGCATTTGCCACGCCAAACTTGTCTTCATAATCCTTATATGTTTTATCATATAAGCAGGGAATCTTACGCACTTCCTCGGCCAACTTTCTGGGTTAAGTGATTGAACACATGTTGAATCCGCCATTTTATACTACAAAATTTTCATTTAAGATGACGTCATTTTGGCGATTAACGCGAATAAATATCAAAAATTATATCGCGTTTGTTAGTCTCCGTTTTACTGCGATTATTACCACGTTCCCATATGGGATTATCGCGTTTAAAGTTAATCCCTGTCGCGTTTTCGCGTTAAGCCTATAGTGGAAACCAGGCTTTATAGATCGTAGCTCTCGACCAATGAAATTGCTCAAATTCTTCTGGTTATTATATAAATATATATAGTCAATGGCGCGGTGTATTTATAGTCTTTGTTATTGTGAATTGTGAAATTGGGAGTAAAGAGAATTTGCTTTGAATTGTATTCAAAGCTTCAAATTTTCAACAATGACTTCACGAAAGCGTTGCTACAATGGATTAAAAAATGCAAAACAACATATGATATTATTTTTCATTTTATTCGGCGTACTTTGTGGATTTTTACTTGGTGCTTTATTACATGGCGATGTTCAGTCGTCCATAGATCCAACACCGAAGGAATATGCAATGTACGTGTCGTTACCTGGTGAGATTTGGGTGAGAGCATTAAGACTTTTGGTTCTTCCTTTGATTGTATCCAGCCTGCTTTTGGCAGTCGCTGAATTGGAGTCAAAACGGAGCGGAAAATTGGGAAGAAGAACATTGCTGTATTGTCTTATGACTACAATGTTTGGGGAGTAATTTGTTTATTTGCATTTAACCTGGAAATGTTAACGTGAAAGAACCAGAACCGAACAAAGAAAAAGTTTAACCAATACATTCTGTGCTTGATCTTATAAGGTTTGTGCAAAATATTCATAAATTTACTGAGTTTGCGCCCTGCTTTTGCGTTCACTGCAAAAATTTTCATATAAGTATAAGTTTTATTTCTATTATTTAACGACAATGCTTTTTACTTTTTCAATATGAACATATTGAGGTATATTAAGGGCGGTATATTAAAGAAGGTGAAGGGGGATTGAGTTGGCTTGGGTGTTAAGAGAGGGTTTAAGTTTGGATATAAGAAGGCTTTCATGAATCATAAGGTCATAATTGTCAGATTTTTACTTTACTAAAGGAAACCTTTTTTTATTAGAACCTAAATGCTTTGTTCGCAAAGCTGTGCAAGTATGGAGATTTCCAAATGCATAGATAACACGTTCACCTTCACTATTGTGAAACTTTAATAAATACATTTATGATATTAGTTGTAAATACATTTTACTATGTCATATGAACCATACCAAAGAGAGCAAAGGTAATGCTACAAGATCATTATAAGAACATCTAGATTTTAAATGGATAAGTTAATCTGAAACTCAACCTTTACAACAATGACATTGAAATATAAAAATTGCAATAAACCTTCCACACTCTACTCATCACACACTCAATTTCACATCTCTTTGAGACAGTGAGTTGAAGGTTTATTGTAATTTTTGAATTTCAAAGTCAAAAAGATCTTTACTCCTTTTGAATTGTAAAACTGCTTTATATTTATGCCAAAAGTTTGCTGAGATTTTGTTTACGATTGTAACATGTGACAGCCTGGGTTATGTGTTTATTAGCATAATTATCAGTCAGCCAAGCTTTTTTGAAACCATTATGAATCAACATTAACATCATCTGACCTCGTACATGAACTGTTCTTAACCAATAGAGCTATACCTCATATTCATCATGTCATTTTAACTTTTAAATATGTTTATGTCAAGATTTCAATTGTAGAATGATTATTATATATACTACTGAACATTGTGTACAACAAGACAACTGTCAATAAATGAGTTGTCAAGGAAAATGAACCTTAAGAACCAAGAATAGCACGAAGCTTTGTTTTACACCACTGTATATGACAGATCATTCACATTGAAATGCATCAAATTGCAATATTGCTACATAAACACAATGAGGATGAACATTTTGATGTTCACGGAAACAAGATTTAATTATTTATAAATGTTCCAAATGTGCACAGCAATGTATTTAGATCTTACAATACCTGTGCCAGGCCTAAATACCATACAATGATAAATAATCTTTTGAAAATTTCACTGTTTGATTGTAAACTGTTTTCTTCTTTAAGATAAATCCCATTTCACCACCTACCTATGTTGTCACGACAACAACAATGAATCTAGAAGAAGGTTTGAAAGCTTTGGAAACATCTATCGAAGAAGTCATTATGAACAAGATAGGAACATTTGTTTTACAACAAGCTGTAAGTGTTTGGTTTATATTTCTATGAAAAGTATATTGTATGACTAAAATGACATCCCCCTGGTACCTCTACTATCCTCATATTATTCTGTTACCATTTCCCTAAGTACCCCATGCTGTATTAAGATGGACATATTCAATCATTAGTTGTTTATTTGAAAATTACAATGACACCATCCCAATGCATTGAAATCAATAATATTAGGACCCTGTGACATTGGCAATAATTTATGTTAACTGTCCACAAAAATTAGTTTTTCCTAAAGCTAATTATGCATTGTGATATCATAACAATGTCTTTTGCATATTGAAGAAAAGTTATGTGTCTCCAAAACAAAATAAAATAACAAAGCACATGTTCACACCATTTACACAATGACTGTCTCATGTTTGCTTTGTCTGACTGTGTAACTATTATCAGAAGGACATCACTTGAGTCCATTGGACATTTTACACACCTGTATGATGTATCAAAGATTTGAAATCATACAACTGACGTATGTTTAATGAGCTGCTGTTTTTTGCAGCGTCAGAGAAAAGAATAAAACAAGCAGAGTTTGTCATGTTCTTATTCAAGTAGTACTTTATGTTTAACTTAGGAGCTAAATATGTTTCATACAAAATGTTTTATGGTTTTTGATTGGTTATATGAAATGCTCTTTAATGTGTATTACATATAATTGGACAACTGTTTTTCTATTGTGTCTGTTGACATAAAATTATAAGCGACACAATACCAAATGGACAAAAGCACAGTAATTTTTAAAACAAAGGATTGATATGATGAGCAACAAACAGCAATATCTTTTATATTTTGTCACTTAATTTAGACAAAGTAGTTGTATAACCTTTTATTTTCAAATTCTCTTATAACTAATTTAATTTATTACGTGTTTGTAGATGTAGAACGTCCAGGTTGTTATAATCCTGAGAAGGACTGTTTTTGTTGTTGTTGACTGACGTTTCGACAACCTTAGCGGTAGTCATCTTCAGAATCAAATCAGAAGTAAACGTCAGGTTAGCCATATTTGTTATCTGGTTCTTTCTTACGCAGCGATGGTTGAACCAGAGTTGTTGGCGTATGCGTCTGACGTTGCTTGCAAAACGTATGTAGTCGTTAGCAAGTTGTTCGCTCTGTTGTCCAAATGATCGTAATAAAGTAAATGGTTTGAACCCAGGAGTATCGTTAAATGTTTGTAAATGTAGATCGTTCAAGTTGGTATAGTCTTGAGAAGGACTGTTTTTGTTGTTGTTGACTGATGTTCAACCACCGCTATGTAAGAACCAGATAACAAATACGGCTAACCTGACGTTTACTTCTCATTTGACTCCGAAGATGACTACCGCTAAGGTTGTCGAAACATCAGTCAACAACAACAAAAACAGTCCTTCTTAGGACTATGCCAACCTGGACGATCTACATTTACAAACATGTAACGATACTCCCGGGCTCAAATCATTTACTTTAAATCTTTAAATTAATTTATAAAAGTAATAGCAAAAAGTAACACTGTATGTATGTATAATATGCAAATATTAAATTAGGAATAATTGAACGAGCAGTTTTCCAAAGTTCATCTTACAAAATTTGCATGCTAAAGGCAAGCGGTAGCAAAGCAATTGCTTCATTTAAATTATTTATCTTTACATGTATATGTTGATGTTGACATGAAAGTTAGAACTCAGCCAATAATTAAATCATGTTAACTGGAGCTTAAAGGATGTTTTCTGTATTTTGTTCAATTTGTTGCCAACCAGCACAACATCAACATATCCATTAACACCAACAATTATACGGTGTCATATATGTATCTCTCAGTCTCCCAGTGTTTGTGTGTAGTATATTATTTGATTTCATCTGCATTCATGTTACTCAGCTGTTTTCAGCAAGGAATCACTTTTATACACATACAAACTTGAATGGTACAGTCCATGTTGCGGTCATTATTCATGGCACCATTAGCATTCTATTTTCATACATACAGTGATTATGAGCATGGAATTGATTTGTTGTAAAGGACTGATTACACATTACATTAAACATAGGGGAATGGGACTTATTGGACCTATAAGTCCATGTCTTTCGCAAACTGTAATGTTTGTTTCTTAAAATATTAAAATACACTGCTGCTATATAAGTGTCACGCGCTTGGAAAGCCGGCGGAAAGCTCGATTGAGCATAAGTATATCCACTTCAGGTGCTTTACTTGCGACAATTATAGACGTCCTCGCAAATTTAACATAAAATTCATTGCTATTTTGAATGAAAACTGTTTTTATTGGATAAATACTAGTGATGATGAAATGAGTTTAACATGTCAAAGCAAAACTTCCCCTGTTAGTTCATTAGTTGACCTGTCCTGGTAAAAT